AGCGCAATGATGGTGCCAACTTGGGCCAGTGAAGCAAAGTCCTCCACAACTAGACTGAAGAACAAAACAACAGCAACTTGTCTGTTCCCCTTCCCTCAATTCCCCAGCACTGTCCCCATCCCCCCAATTCCCCAATAAAAATCTAAAAAAAAAAGCTGAGAAACTCTAAAAATATTTATTTATTAAGTCATTAAAAATAATAAACATAAACCTACCAGGTACTAACATAATATATTTTAATGAAAAATAGCTATAATGAGTTGAAGGCTTGACTGGGGCTGATGAATCCACTTCCTAGTTTATTCATGTGCCTATTGGCTGCAGGCTTCACTTCTTCTCCACATGGCTCTCCATGGGCAACTCACAACATGGCAGCTGGCTTCGCCAGAGCTAATTATCTGAGAGAGACTGTGCCACCAAGACAAAAGTCACAGTGTCTTTTATTACCTAATTTCAGAAGTTCAGAAGTGACCAATGCTGTTTACATATTGGTCAGCCAAATCAATGTGGGAAAGGGTTTCTTCATCTTTCTGTTGTTCACACAGGACAGTGTGGGAAAGGGCTATGTACAGGTGTGACTATGTGGGCTACCCTGGAGGCTGGCTACCACAGCACTTTCACAACTAATACCAGGGGTGCCAAAAAATGTATACACATTTTAAGAGATATGATCTATGCTCGAGCAGTAATTTGCCGTAATCAGAAGTGTCTGGACGCTGATGGTAACCATGTTGAGCACCTCTTGTAATTGCAGAAGTCAAATGTGACTTGTATTCATCTTTTGTTATTGGTATATACTAAATATTACAATTAACACAGTTTTTTTTTCTTTCTTAAAATGTGTATACATTTTTTTTGGCACCCTCTGTATTATGAGTGAGATTGGCTGTGATTTTTTTTTTTTTCATATCCTTGTCAGGTTTTGGTAAAATGTTTGTTACTTCACCAAGTAAGTTGTGGAGTGTCTCTTTTTTCCCTATCCTTTGGAAGAATAAGAAATAAAATGAAAATAAAACATTGACATTATAAGATTATTCAGAATTTTCTATTTTTGCTTGTGTCAGTTTTTGTAAGATGTATTCTTCTCTAGGATGTGTTTATTTCCTCTACATTTTCATGTTTATTGGCACAAAATTGTTCATTTATATTCTCCTATGACTTTTTTAATGGCTGTAAGGTTCAAGTGATGTCCCCAACATTTCTGACATTGGTGATCTGTGCCTACTTTTGTTTTTTCTTGACTCCCTCAATGAATTTGTTAGTTATTAATTGTTTTAACTAAAATAGCTTTTGGCTTTGATGATCCTTTTATTTTATTTTATTTTAATTTTATTGGGGAACAGTGTGTTTTTTCAGGACCCATTAGCTCCAAGTCAAGTAGTTGTCTTCAATCTATTGGGTTGTCGGAAAAGTCATTATGTGTTTTTCTGTTTTTCATTGCAAAAATGCGTCATAACTTCTCCGACAACCCAAGAGTTGTGGAGGGTGCAGCTCCTTGGCCCATGTGGGGATCAAATTGCCAACCTTGGTGTTATGAGCCTGCCGCTCTAACCACCTGAGCTAACTGGCTCCCCCATGACGATCCTTTATAGTGTATATTTCTTATCTCATTAATTTCTGCTCTCATATTTATTATTTTCTTCTATCTACTTTATTTGAGCCTGCTTTGTCAATCTTTCTAATTTCTGAGATAGATGTTTGGTTTCCTAACTTTCAAATTTTCTTCTTTTCTATTATAAGTATTCAAAGCTATGAACTTCTCTCACTTCTTCTCCCTTTCCTCCTCCTCCT